GGTTTAACTATACGAATAACACTAGCATTCTTGAAGATGAACCATGCAGGTTATTCTAGAACTTCTTTACCATATGTATCAATAATCGATTCAAGGATACTACAGTCTAAAACAGACTTCAAGGAGCAGAAAATACAGAAAAGCAAGAGAAAGCGGGGAAGGAAAAAATAAAAAGAAAAGGAAGGAAGAAACCGCTACTATTAACAGAAGAAAGACTTACCTTCACTGTAATATAAGCAGCTGGGATGAGACCAATCACGGTGGCCAAAAAGAAAATATGGAATGGTATATCCACAATAGGAGATGCCAAATTGATGAAAAGATTTGGTAATGTTGGAGTTATTCTCAAAAACAGCATGTAGTTGAGCAACTTATCCCGACGTTTGGCTATCTAAAACCAAAACATTTCACATTAGTGTGCAGTGTGCACCAGAAAGAAAGCTACGATGAATATAGTAGATAAAAGAGGCAGTACATCACTAGCAATCACTTTAAGAAGACTACAGACCTCTGCCTGGAAAAATCTCAACTTTTCAGGCCACATCCAGTTAACTATAGGCCTGCCGATCAATTTAGACAGAAAATAGCAGGACGATGCTCCAGCTGTTGCATTAAAGACAACCAAGAGAAGCCCTCTGAAAATGCCAAAAAGTGCTCCAGCAAGTAAAGACATGAATATTGTACCAGGAATCATGAATGTCTGCATGAATATGTATGTTGAGCAGTAACCAAGAATAAATTTTGTGGGGTATACTTTCGCATACATTCCGAGATTATCCCTGGAAAAGAAAACATAATATTAACATTGAAACAAAACAGAACCAGCTGAGAAAATAAGAGCACACCTCATAAAGCAAGAGATACAATGTCAAACCCAAATTAAGAAAAGTATAACATCATTAAGCAGAAATTACATCAAAATTTTCAATCATAGAGCAACAATACATTCAGGTGGGGACCACCAGTGAGAAATACTGCTAATATTAGATGTGTAATTACTTTACTTTTCTTTCCTTCTGACAAACAAGAAATCCCTGAAAGCCAGTAGCGCAAGGTTCGAAACTAAGTGGATAATGGGCCATCCCCCTCCTTTCCACTTAAATATTAGGTTTTTGTCTTGGGAAGAATTTGAACCCACGACGCGCACCTAACCCACATATCACGCATTGCGCTCTTACCACCAAACCAAAATCCTGCAGGTGATGATGCCTAGTTACTATACTTGCACCGTACCTGAAATTTTTCGTAATTGCTACTGTCGGTGTTCCCAAGCCAAATGTTTGGGGTCAATGAGTATCATGTCTGTTTAATTTTCTTAATGTTACTTCCGCATATTTCTCGTGTCAGATATTTCCATAAGAAATTAAAAATGAACTAATTGTCTCCAAATATTTCTGATAAGTCCAAGCTTTTGAAAATAAAAGACGTGGGCTTTTAGCATTTTGAACAAAATGACAAACACAAAACATAGCATATGAATAATGTGCTACCCTGAACATCTTCAACAGGAAAAAGGGGTAAAATCTGTTGCCTCCTCATACTTGCTTCTGTTAAGATTATTATCATCACTTATTGAGGGAGCCATGCACATCCATGCTCACAAGAGTTCGAATCAATGATAAAGCTACAAACTTTCACAAATATTAAGGGAGGGGAATCTAATGTGAATGAGAAAGTCATCCAGGAGGGCACAAATATTGGTTTAGGGGTTACAAGAAACAAGTAGGAAAATTTTTGACATCCGCAAGAACTACTTCCTAATAAATAAAATCAACAAACCTCAGGAACATTTGAGGCGTAAAAATGCATAGACTTGTCACACCACTGAAGGAGGGCATGAATATTGGTTAAGCGATTACAAGAAACAAGAAGAAAAATTTTGTGACATCGACAAGAACAACTTCCTAATACAAAAAGTTATAATCAACAAACCTCAGGAACATTTGAGGCCTAAAAATGCATAGACTCATCACACAATTGTATAAGGTTTGGCCACATGAGCCACTGCAAACAGTTCGTGCTTTTCTGAGAAGTAACTAGGAGTTGGAATATCCAGTTACTAATTGAACCCCTGCCATAACCACCAAACGACAAATTCAGACGTGGAGCCAAGTAGGGCCAAGGAGGTACATCCGAACCCCCTTCAGTGGAAAATTATAGTACTTATAAAACATAATCTCAGTGAAATCCCACAAAGTGCACATAATTACACTATTTATACTTGGTTAAAATTATTTTATGCATAGTCGATATTGAATCCCCTTTGCTTTTCATGGGCTCGTTGTTCATATTTTGAACCAAATATACAGTAGTATCTAAGTCAACTCATAATTTCCAATACATTAACTAAAGATCACAAAAATGTCAAAGGTAAGTGAATGTAAAAACAAAACAAAACAAAAAAAAGCAATGTCAAAAGTGAGTTTACTTGAGAATCCGGAGATCGGAGATGGTACGAGGCAGCTTCAATTTACCATACTCAGCAGCTGGCATTGACAAGTATAAGCAAAACAATCCTGTTGAGAACACCAAAATAACCCCAAAAGCTGCTGCAAATTCCCAACTTGACAATGGAAACCTCCCTTCCTTAAACCTCTTAGCTGTTGGCGAATCCAATTCATCTGCACACAACATATCCATACTCTTCTTCTCTTCTTCATCCCTTGTAACTAACCGACTTGTGTCCACCACTATATTCCTCGGTGCAGCCATTGACAACACGGTGATGATGAACGTAACAAACACTACACTAATCTTCAATCATATTGATCCAATCACAAAACTTCAAATTTACAAGTGTTGTTCAGCTCACAAATCTAGCCAAAGAAAAATCCCAATACATTACTGAAAATATATCAAACTAAAGCTAAATCAAGAACAAAACAAACCCAGATTCCTTTTTTGGAAAAAACTGAATGGAAATTAGCAGAAAACAGAGAATTGGGAGCTGGGTTTACAGCACAGTATACACAAAGAACAAAGAAATGAAAAACTACTAACGAGAAAGGAGAAATATAAGCTCTAGGGATTTGGATATTTTCTTGTGGTAAGTCGTCCATTTTTAATTCTCATGATAATTTTTTTTTAATTTTTTGCAGTTAAATTAAAATTTTTAGTTGATATATAAAAAAATATAATTTATAATATATATAATTTATAAATATTTAAATTTCTTGTTTAAAATATTAATTTAATTTAATTTTAAAAATTAACTATTAACTTTTGAAAAGATGATAATGAAAAATAAAAATTGACCAAAAAAGTATTATGTATTATTTTATCTTTTAGAATTTTTTTTTGTTTGGGATATTTCCTTTTTTATAAAGTAGTATATGCTTTTCTTGATTTGGTGGAAATGAAAGAAAGTGAGAGCTAAGATGGTTGCACGAAGGGAATATTTTTTTAATTTGTAATTTAGAAAATCACATAGTTAATAAGGATAATTTCTGAGACATTTCTTCAGATTTTGCATTTATAACATTAATTTTTTATATGATTTATGATATTATGTATACCTCTCTTATTTCTATTTTGTTTTAACTATTTTTAAACCTATTTAAAATAAATATAAATGAATTTAGATTTGACAATTTTACCTTTTTTATATTAATTTCTTCATATTAATAAATATCATATAAAAACAACTTATTTAACAAATATTTTAAAAATAAATTAACACAAATACATATTTTTTTATCAACCAAATATCAAAGTCTTCATTCAAGCTAATCCACCATTTTCTCTAAATATTAACTCTTCATTTGCATTTCACTTTTATTAATTCACGTAGATCCCCCCCCCCCCCCAATAACCCATATTTTCCAGCAACAATTTCTTTAAATAGAGGATAAAAATGAACTCCTCAAGAGAGAAATTCGATAGGAACAATCATATTTATTATAGTTAAACATTTTCACGAACAAAAAAGAAATTGATCCAACGAATATCTAAATATGCATATATAAGGATAAAATTGTCAAATCTAAATAAATTTATATTTATTTTAAATAGATTTAAAGAATGGTTACAAAAATATAAAAATAAAAAAGATAGACATAATATCATAAACCACGTGGGAGATGAGTGTTATAGAGAGAAACCTGAAAGAAGGTTTCTAAAATTATCCCTAATTTATATTTTCTAATTCATTAATGATTGTCGGCTATTGATTTAGCACATATTCATTAATTATATTCGGCTATTGATTTAGCATATAATTAAGGAAGTACTAAATATGATAGGGTTAATTTTGTCAAATCACTTGATTAGATATAAGCTATCTAAATATTGAGAAATGAATAATATTTAATAGCAAGTATAAAATATACATAACATGATAAATTATTTGAATTTTAAAAAAAAATTCGTTAATTAATCAAAATTCTTAACATAATCAATATAAATAACTATACTTTAAAATAATTATTGAAAATGTAAATATTAATGGTAAAGCAAATTAAATGTATCCAAATCTAATTCCTTATTTAACTAGATTATCTCCTTATTCCTCTCACATTTTTCAACCAAATTTCTCACTTCAAATTACTTCCATCTTTCCTTCTTCAAACACTTTCTTCTTAAAGTCAAAATCCAGATTATCTCTCTTCCATATATAATTTTTTAGAGAGCTTATCAATCAAACAAAAGATTTAAATTATTAAAGAAGGCATTACTTCAGATCATTGTGTAAATAATTATAATTAAGAGGACTCTACATCAAAGAAGTTGTTAAAGTAGTTAGAAGGTAGTTAGAGTAGTTAGAATAAATTCAGTTTTCATTCTTGTATATATATACTTGTATGTACAGATTACAAATTCATTTTTTGAGAATACAATGGAATAAACGTTTTCTTTCTCCATTCTTCTTTTTCTTCTCTGTTCTTCTCTTCTTCTTCTCTACGTAGCTTCACATTTATGCATGATTGATATGCATCTGCTGTAAGAAAACTAACATGGTATCAGAGCCAACATAGTAGAGCTTCAAGATCTCAGTCAAAACCATGGCAACTATCGACAATGAGTTGCCTGAGAAGCTGAGCCATAATAATCCTTTCTTCTTACATTCAATTGATAACTCAGGTGTATTACTTAGTTCAATTCAACTAACTGGAGCTGATAATTTTTCAGTATGGAGTCGAGCTATGAAAATTGCAATTATAGGTCGCAATAAACTTGGATTCATTGATGGATCATGCAAAAAGGAGTTATATGGTCCTAACTTGACAAATCTATGGGAACGATGCAATGCCATAGTGCTTTCGTGGATTATGAATTGTGTTTCAAAGGAGTTACTTGGAGGCATTGTTTATTCTACCAATGCAGCTGCTGTGTGGAAAGATTTATGTGAAAGATATGACAAGATTGATGGATCACATATCTTTCAATTACACAAAGATATTGCTACTATCAGCCAAGGTACAAGTTTAATCTCAAGCTATTTTTCTAAGCTGCGTGAGTTGTGGGTAGAGTATTATAGTTTGGCACCTGTTCCTGGTTGTGAATGTGTGAATTCAAGAGAGTTTGTAGTGTTCATGCACAATCAGAAGTTACTGCAGTTTCTCATGGGATTAAATGATTCATATGAGCAAGCTAGAAGCCAAATACTAATGATGGTACCTTTGCCTATTATAAATAAAGCATACTCACTACTTGTTGAAAGAGAAAGCCAACGTATCATGTCACAAACTTCTCACAGTTCAAGTTCATCTGATCTGAATGCCTTGTTTACTGCTCAATCATCAGTTTCCAAACCAAGGTTTCATACTAATTCAAGCTATGATCCAAATGCATTTTGTGACTATTGTAAAAGAACAGGACACATGCAGGCTGTGTGTTATAAACTTCATGGATATCCACTTGGTTATGAAAGGAAGAAAAGAGGTTCTACTGGTCCTACTTAGAATGGTCAAGGGAGAGGAAGATCAAGTAATGATAGGAGATTTTATCCATATGCTATTAATGCAATTAGTGACACTGACCATTCTAATTTTAATAGAGTTGAGAATCCAAGAAATCAAGGTTATGGTAGAGGTGATAGACAATCTGATCCTGTTGATTATCACAAAGGATTGAATGCACTGCAGGAACAATATAATCAAATCTTGCAGATTCTTGGTCAATCCAATAGGCAAAGCACCACTGAAAGAGATTCAAATTCACATTCCAGTGCAAATCTAGCTCAAGAGAACTATCCTTCATTAGGTAATGTCACTGCTCTTTCAGCTAGTATAGCACATACAGGATGGATTATAGACTCTGGTGCAACAAATCATATGACTCCTCACTCACAATTATTGATTAATAAACATCCATTGCCAATTGATGCACCTAGAAGTGTTCAACTACCAAACGGAGATAGTACATTGATCACACATACAGGCTCTAGTAATATGACCTCACAAGACATTATCAATAATGTTCTTCTTATTCATGTCTTTAAGTTCAGTCTATTGTCAGTCTAAAAAATTACTAAGGATCTACAGTGTGCAGTATGTTTCTATCCTGAGTTTGTGACTATTCAGGATCTCTCCAGGGGCAGGGTGAAGGTGATTGGTAGAGAACAGGCTGGACTTTATCTCATTCCTCATCCCTCATCTTCTACAGATAGTACTACCTCTCAAGCATGCTCTCATTTAGTTCATGATGGTTTATCAAGTTCACAAACTGTCTTATGGCACCAAAGACTTGGTCATACTTCATCTAATGTTCTAGCTAGAACTCTCAATCTTCCAGTTACACAGTGTTCAAATGAAGTTCACAACTGTACTATATGTCCTCTAGCTAAACAACCAAGACTTTCTTTTTCAAATAGCTCTACTATATCTTCTAGTCCATTTCAATTGATACATATAGATGTTTGGGGTCCATTTCATACTCCTACATATGATGACAATAGATTATGGATGATTGTACAAGAATGTTGTGGCTGTTTCTAATAAAGTTGAAGAGTGATGTTTGTGTTGTATTGAAAAATTTCTTTACTCTAGTCAAAACTCAATTCAACTTATTAGTTAAAGTCATTCGTACTGATAATGGTTCTGAGTTTATTAACACTGAGTGTACACATTTGTATACAAGCATGGGTATTATTCATCAAAGAACCTGCATTCACACTCCTCAACAGAATGGTATAGCTGAAAGAAAACACAGACATATACTTGAGGTAGCCAGATCCATCAGATTCCAAGGTCATATTCCTATCAGATTTTGGGGGCACTGCATTCTTAATGCTGCATATATTATAAACAGGTTGCCTACATCTGTTTTGCATGGTAAATCTCCATATGAAATGTTTCACAAATGCAAACCTTCTCTACAGCATATGAGGGTGATAGGTTGTCTATATTTTGCTAAAAATATGCATATTAAGGACAAATTTCATCCTAGGAGTGTCATTGCTGTGCACATGAGCTATAAAGCTCATACAAAGGGAAATATGTTATACAACATTAAGGACAAAACATTCTTCATTAGCAGAGATGTACTATTTAGAGAAGTTATATTTCCATTTGCTTCTCCTTCATCTACTGCATGACAAGTGTTTCCTAATGTTGATGAACCCTCAGAGGTTACACCTTTGTTCCAGCATAATCCTCCTACCACAGATGTCCATACTGAGACGGTTCCAGCTCAAGATACTTCTTCTATAAGAAGATCACAAAGAAGTACCAAAGCTCATTTATGGCTACAAGATTATGTTGCATCTGCTCAGCTTCAATCCAATAAGCCTCTGTATTCTATTGACAAGTACATTGGGTATGACAGCTTGTCTGCTTCTTATCGAGCCTTTCTTTCTTCCTTTGGTACTGAAGTTGAACCTACCTCTTTTGAGGAAGCTTGTAAGGATCCTAGATGGGTTGAGGCAATGCAAGCTGAAATATCAGCTTTGGAGTCAAATCAAACATGGCAGGTGGTTCCTTTACCTACTCACAAGAAAGTTATTGGTTGCAAGTGGATTTTTAAAATCAAGTATCATGCCTCTGGTGAGATTGACAGGTTTAAGGCACGTCTTGTGGCAAAAGGATTTAATCAAAAAGAAGGCCTGGACTATCAGGAAACCTTTTCTCTAGTTGTGAAAATGGTGATTGTTAGGAGTGTTCTATCCTTAGCTGCAAAAGAACATTGGCATGTTCATCAGATGGATGTGTCTAATGCATTTCTTCACGGTGATTTACTTGATGAAGTTTATATTGTCCTTCCTTTTGGCTTTAAGCCTCTAAAGGGTTTTAGTGTGCAAGGGGAGAAACCAGTGTGCAGGCTCACTAAATCCCTTTATGGATTAAAACAAGCACCTAGGCAATGGAATGCAAAGCTCACTGAAGTTCTTGTCAAATTGGGTTTTGTACAAAGTCATCTTGATTACTCATTATTCATCAAGAAAACTAGTGCATCTCTGGTTATACCGTTAGTATATGTAGATGATTTGATGATCACTGGAAGTGATATCAATCTCATTCAACAGACTAAAAGCACCTTACAAGAAAATTTCAAAATGAAAGATCTAGGGAACCTCAGGTATTTCCATGGGATTGAGTTTGCTAGATCACAAGATGGAATTGTAATGCATCAGAGGAAATATACATTGGCGATCATATCTAAGGCAGGTCTTAGTGCTGCAAAACCAGCTGCTACTCCACTGGATCCTTATGTGCAGTTAACAACTAGAGAATATGATGAATTAAATGGAACAAACAAAAATGATAAATTGTTGACAGAGCCAATAGTGTACAGAAGGTTAGTTGGAAAATTACTATATCTAAATGTCACTAGACCAGACATTTCAATTGCTACACACACTTTAAGTCAATTTCTACATCAGCCTAAGAAATCTCATCTAAATGTTGCTCTCAAAGTAGTAAGATATATCAAAAGACAAGCTGGACTGGGTGTTCTATTATCCAGTACAAAGAGCAAAGAACTCCAAGTTTACTGTGACTCAGACTGGGGTAGTTGCTTACATACAAGGAGGTCAGTTACAGGCTTCATGGTGAAGTTGGGAGGCTCACTAATATCATGGAAGTCTAAGAAGCAAGCAACCATTTCTAGAAGCTCAACTAAAGCTGAGTACAGAAGTATGGCAAGTGCAGTGGCTGAAGTTGTGTGGTTAGTGAAACTATTCAAAGAGTTTGGAGCTGAAGTACACACTCCAGTAACTATATACAGTGACAGCAAGTCAGCTATTCAAATAGCTGCTAATCCTGTGCTACATGAAAGAACAAAGCATATAGAGTTGGATTGTCATTTTATAAGAGAGAAGATTCATAATGGACTAGTGCAAACTCAATACTTGAGTACCAATGAACAAGAAGCAGACATGTTAACTAAAGGCTTGGGAAAAACTCAACATGAGTATCTACTATCCAAGTTTGGTGTATTAAACCTATTCATACCTACAAACTTGAGGGGAGTATTAAAGAAGGCATTACTTAAGATCATTGTGTAAATAATTGTAATTAAGAGGAATCTACATCAAAGAAGTTGTTAAAGTAGTTAGAAGGTAGTTAGAATAAATTTAGTTTTCATTCTTGTATATATATACTTGTATGTACAGATTACAAATACATTTTTTGAGAATACAATGGAATAAACGTTTTCTTCCTCCATTCTTCTTCTTCTTCTCTGTTCTTCTCTTCTTCTTCTCTACGTAGCTTCACATTTATGCATGATTGATATGCATCTGCTGCAAGAAAACTAACATAAATATCAAAGACTTTCTTAGAGATTTTTCTGAAATTGTCTATTTATGATTTTTCATAATTTACCATTTTGATTTGGATTTTAGTGAGTTTTATTTGATATTTGTGATTGATTAGTGATCACCACTAACATTCATATATTATATATTTTGTTTGATTTTGATATACATTGTTGTGTGTTTAGTAATTTTTTTTTAGGGTTTTAGGTAAAGGGAGAATGTGCGATTTTCACCTTAATGTCTGATTCAAAGAGGATAATAAGCGATATCCTATATAATCACCAACTTTTTGGAGATTCTCCTTCTTTTAATCTATGAATTCCCAAGAATTTTCAAAAATGTAAGTTATGCGGCTAAAATGGCTGAAGATAGCATATCTAAATTTCGGCATGATCTTTATACCCATAAAAGTAATAAATCTGACAGTCCAAAATAAAAATAAAAATTGTGGGTACTGAAAAAGTTAATGAACTTGCTAAAAAGCAAAGTGATGAACAACAACTTTCCGAATATCAAATCAATAAAGTGGTATTTCCGAATATCAAATCAATGAAGTGGTATTTAATTATTGTTCGCAAAATTTTTAGTAAATATTTTGAATATGTTGTCATAACAATGCATTTTTATATCAATGAGTGATAAGTTACTTTAAAACGTAATTTATATTTGAGAAAATTGTATATAATAGCAAACTAATAACCTAAAATAAATGGAGTAGTTAGGGTTTGATTTAATTGTGCCCCATAGCAAACGTTTGCAGAAAATTGTCAGGTGCCTCTCTCCCAAATATCTCGCTCGCCACTCTCCTCCAATCTCTCGCTCGCTTCCTCACTTTTTATACAAACACAAGCGTATAAAATTGTTTCTAATTATATAAAGCAGAGAATATTGTATAAATACATATATTTTTGTTCCCCTCTCTCCCCTCTTCCAGATTTCACTCGCCACCCTCGCCTTTCTCACTTATAGAAACAGAAGCGAAATGTATAAATTGCGTTTCTGTTAGTATAAAGCGTGAAAAAATTGTATATACACATGCAAGTACATATATTTTCGTCCTATACACTTATAGTTATACAATAAAAATACTCTCCTACCCAGTTTCTTTTGCCTTTCTCTCTTTCTCGTTTTATACAATTTTCAAATTGTATCTAATTTCTCTCTTTCTCGTTTTATACAATTCGATTCAATTGTATATTTCTTGTC